ATTCCTTTGGCATTTGATTGTATTAAAAATGGCCACTTTCGTCATGGCAACTAGGAGTGACAGGATTTACAAGAAGATGCTGTAAAATAGCCATATGAAAACATTAAATTGGCAATATTTCGAAAACTAAACACTTTTGGAATAGACATCGTTACACAAACTTAAACTTATTTTTAATACTGAATATGACAAAATTATCAAAAATGGTGGTTTCCATTTGAAAAAGTTGATTTTGGGCGGTTTTTTCAACTGTAATTTGAAACTTGTTTTTTAAACACTTTGCATTAATAGTTTTCAAAATATTTTCGAAATTCCATTAAAGTAAGTCCTTTTCAACAATAAATGCGACTCAAACTAAGTATGACAAATYCCCATATAGGAAAAATTATTCGAGTGGCTGCAACTGTCATTTTTTTCATAAAATTTCAAATATCTCCAAATCGGTTAGCCTCAGGTATAGGATATTATCCATGAAATACATTTGAAATTTGGMGTAGAATTCAAAATGTAATAGTATATAGGGTGTTCCATTYAAAATAAGCRAGTTGATRYGCACTTCCGGTATAAYCGGAWGTGTGGCCATCTTGAAAATATTTTAGGCAGCATGCCCCCACTGCCCTCGGCACACTGCCCAATTTTCAAATTTCTGCTAATTACAGTTGCCASATATTAATCGCGGCGTTTCCCGTTGGGACACCCTGTATAAGAGGCGGATGGCAGTTTAKAGAGAGGAAGAGTTACGCATTTTTGTACTGAAACTATTTAAGCCGCTAGCAGTGAAAAACTTGCGAAATACAATTTCTCCTTTAGAAACTAATRAGTTTCATATTTGGTTTTACTTTAGATTAKATAGTGAGGAGTTATTTAGGTAACTAAATATAAAAGCTCTATATTATATTCGAAAGTAATAAGAGTTGCAGTGATAATACTCATTATATTTCATATGTATTCTAGATAATATAGGACACTAAGCCTATTTCACGATTGTAACGAAATCTCAAGATATTTTTTAATACGCAGAGGACACTGTAGACACTTACTAAGCGTTAATAATTTGTTGGACATTGTGGATTGTTAATTAATTAAATTATTTATTGAGTAAAGAACTGATAGGACCTTGTTAGCGTATCCATCTGCATTAACTGAGAGATGCCGACATAAAACAGATTCTTTCAGGGTGAAATTTCCAATATTTATTGCAAAATGTATGAGTAATATAATCTACCTCTTAAAAATATAATAAATATATTTATTGCAGTAACAATGAGTGTCATTTTTCAGAACCGGTCAGGGAGAATTTTAAATGTATATTTTGACTTGCTTATTTATCAGTCAAATTTAGCGTGCAGAGCATAAGATGAAGCAGATGACCGACTCGGACTGTAACAATTATCCCACAAACGTTGCTAAATTAAATTTCTGAACACTCACAACACTTACAAGAGGAAAAGGGTGCAGAACAAGTGCAAATGACAACAACAATTATTTTTAAATTTTAATTGAGGTCGAGAAATCTACACACAGTGTGAAAGTGTTAACACACTCTGGTATATTTTACCTTTAAATGCCTAAAAGACTGTGACAGATTTCAAAAATGACGATGGCATCTTTTTGGTTTTGGCTGAAAAATGGCAAAATTTTATAAAACCGCACTAAAATTCGAAGGTAAAAAAAATAGTGGAACTCGAAGCGTTAAATTCTGTCGCTATTTTACCCGCAATTTATTGTTCCACGTTGTTCCTAATTGCAAAAACAAGAGTGAAATTTTTAAACGTTTTCCGCGTGTGCATCCTCGACTAACCCAAACCAACGACCCATTCGGCTGTTGAATAGCTAATTCCATCTGCAGCAGCAAAATGCTGATCACATTGTTTCTGTTTATACAAATTACCTTCTACTGTTTATTATATAAAAGCGATCGCGGTTAAGTGGATGTCGCTGTTTCAGGTGTATGTTAATATGGGTTTTTAGTGGACAGCCTTGAGTTTTGCACTGCACGCGCCCATCCACCAAGCCATCCTTAATTGCCGCTCAAGATGGTTCCAACGGTTCGCTAAAATCGCAACTTCTGCTAATATTTACGGGTGAAATGAACGCGTTCACACGCACAATTGTGATCACAGGGTTGTTGCTGTTGTGTTGCCTGCTGACCGGTAAGTGGTTTGAAATTGAAAAGATTCAATGGAATTTATGCTCAAAATGTGGGAATTGGAAATAAATCTACTGCTAAGAAAATCTGGGATGATTTTCGTATGCAGCGCGAATCGCTAACTTGAGTGCAGTAAATCGAAGACAACTCGAATGAGGGCAGTTTAAAATACAGTTGAGTCCGGATATAGCGAACTTGAAAAATTAACTGGTTCGTTATATCCGGAGTTCGCTATAAGCGAATAATAATTCAAAAACACGTGGTGTTTTTTTTTGTTATTTTCACATAGAGTAGTAGAAGTTAGTAGGTATGACTAAAAAGGACACAAAAAGATAAACAAAATTCAATTGGAAATCTACTTCAAAAAGTCTGTAATTTTTCTTTGTACATTTCTGCTGCAAAAATAGATGCTATTTATGTAGTTTTCAGGATCACAAAAGGACTCCCAGATATGATTAGGAACTTGGCGTGATTGTAGAAAATTCCCAGTTTCTGAAACTTTTTTGGTCATTTCAGAAATGGTT